TGCAAACAATGTGGCTTCTGATATGCTCCATATTTCAAATGGCCCTCAAATATTTTTTGTCCAAATATAATGTATTTGGAGCAATAGACATAGCTTGTTCAATTTATATGTCTTCCCTATTACCTATTAAGCAAATTCAGTTAAAATATTAAACCAAATAGACAAACCAGGCTACTTCTTTCAGGAAAAAGTCTAGATTTGTATTTTAAATAATCCAGAATACTTTCATTCCTCTGATAACTATTTCACTTTCAAATTCTAAGATAAATCAATACATACCTTGTATATTAGTGTTCTCAGTACTGGAACATAATATGAGATACCCACAATTTAAAAGAAGAGGGATTTGATTTCATTTGTTTCAAAGGATTCAGTCCATATTGTGCTGGCTCCAAGGAAGAAACATCTTGGCGGAAGGGCATGGTGGGGGAAAGCTGCTCATCTCAGGGCAGCCAGGAAGCAGAGAAAAAAGGTAGGAGCTGTGGGCATGCCTTCCCCCAGTGACATGCCTCCTCACACCATGTCCCAGTCCTAGCATCATATATAGCTCATCAATAGATCAGTCCACTGATGAGTATAGTTCTCCTGTGATCCAATCGCCTTCTAAAAGCTCCATGTCTGAATACATGAGACTTTTGACATTCTAGATATAAACCATAACAGGTACATAAGACATAGATCCTTAAAATGAGTTTGTTCCTTAAATAAAATACTGCTTTAGCAATACTTCTTAGAGATGATCTTTTTCCTTTATTGTCACTTCTTTCAGGAGTTATATATCCTCAAATTAGTTTTTATTTAATTCCCAAAGATTTTATACCTTGAGCAATGCATGATAGAGGATTGGTGAGATGTATTATTTTCTTTTGTGAGAGAGGAGGAATGAAAAGAAAGGTGGTGAAGGATAAGTTTTAACTTCAGATATATACATTTTTGGAGAAAGTACATATAAAAGTAGGGATTTAGGAAAATAATTCTCTTAAAACTATATATTTCCATTACATATTCTCACATCCCCCTGGAAATTTTTAAAATGTGTTCTCAAGGATATGATTCCCCCAGTTTTAAAATGCTGGTATAGGTGGTGACCTGATACGTGGATAGAAAGGTCTATTCCACTATGCTTCAGTTCTCTCTGGACTACTTATTGTGAGATAGACTCAACTTCTATTAATGGTGCTGTAACCATTGGAAGATGCTATGAGGTATTGCCCATATTCTATCTTTAGGGTTAATATTCCAACTCTGTGGTTGATCATTATCTGTCCTTATAAATATTTTCCTCTCCCTTCTAGTCATTTTCATATAAAGGACATGAAAGCTTACCAAAATTTTCTAAACTTTGATTCCCAAAACAATATAACGTTTCTATTGCCAGGGATAAAATATCAATCTTAATAATTTCCCTTATGAAAAGCTTCTCTTTATTGAATGTTTGCTGTTTGTTCAGTACTAAAACTACTACTACAAAGAAGATATTGTTATCATCATTACTGTTATTCCAATTTTAAAGATGAGAAAATTGAATTGGAAAGAAGTAAATAACTCGAACAAAGTCACTTCATTCAGAGTTCTGTTTAGTGGCTGGCTGGCAGGCACAATAGTTGATTTAACAGTAACATGATAATGCTGTAGGTATGCAGGGGCCAAGACTAGAGATAATAAGATTAGGAAAAATTTTAAAATAGCTACCTATCCTCTGGAAAAGTCCCTGTACATCTAAGAGGAGCCCGACATAAATCATGCTGCATTGTGATCCATAATGAGCTGTCCAAATGACTTGGTACAGTGGTTTCCAAACTAGACTCTTCTCAGTCCAAAAGAGACACTATTAACTGTTGTTGGAAGGAGATGAGGAAACCTTTCTCCACTTCAGACAAACATGTCTGGCTTTCTTTACCTATACTTTATTACTGCAACCAGGAGAAGATTGAATTATTGATAAAAAAAAATGGAAATAGAGTTGACACACACATGCAGACAAAGGCAGAGAGACAGAGCCTACTAGTCATAAAAAAGAATACTAATTTTGGAATTAATTTGCCTGGATTTGTGTCCAGTAACATAGTTAATAATATATTGTTATTGGGTGACTCAGGCATGGTTTTTAACCATTCTGAGCTTTAGTTTTCTGATATACAGCAAGTACTCAAAGATTTTTGTTGAATGAATAAGTTAACGAGTGAGTAGATGAATGATTTTATGTTTTGGCCAAAGTAACATTGTGGAATTGTAGTGAGGATCAGTGCTAATATAGAGAATTTGATACAGCCTGGCATACAGTAGGCATTTTATAATGGTAATAGCTAGCATTATTATCAGTGTTGTTGATTCAAGGCTTTTTTTATTGCTATACAGGTGCCTCTTTGACACTTCTCTCTAAGCTAGACAGAGATCCTTCATAAACCTTGAGAGCAAGTATTACATTCAGCTGAATAATTGGAACATGCCTGAGTCCAAGAAGGCTTTTCTATCACAAGAGAAGATTCTGAGAATCTCAGAAGCTTGTTCATTTTCTACTCTTAAATAGTGTGGCTTGAAAATTTTGTTTGCTAAAATAGTTGCACCCTGTTATATAGGAGAAATCTTGCCATTGTGCCAGATGTACCAAAACTATATGACAACTCAGTGGGATCAAAATCCTGCAGCTCAAGAAGTGTTCATATTGCCTTCATCGATCCTTGTGTCTGAATCATACTGCCCACTGACATCCAAGTCTATGTATTTCCCACACGTGTCTTCTGCATTAGAACAAATTATAGATCTACAGTTTATTCTTTATGGAAAGGAAAGGAGGTGTATTGCTCTTTTAACCTGAAACTTTATGTCTTTAATATACCTAAATCATTTCCAGTTAAATACCATTATCTTGTGAATAGTATTCAACTGCTATGAGATCTAAATTCTCTAGGGTAAGACATTGTCTTTCATAGCTTGTGTAAAGTGGCACAGACAATTTTAGCATTCCTGATATAACAGATGCCTCTCCTTTTTAACAAAAGAATAAGAACAGTGGTAGCCTCATGATATGTCCTAAAAGCATGGTGTGCAAGAAGACTCTCATTACATACATATTATAATACTATTACAATACATCATAAAGTTACATTTCCCTCTAGAAAATGTGTTAATGCTACTGAATCTGGAACACAGACCATTGAGAGTTAACTCTAATTATGTAAAGATTCTTTGCTTTATGAGATACCTTTCTTTTTTTCTGGTAAAGAGTCTCTTTAAACAGCTAGATCTCTTTTTGGAGTATTTAAAATTGGATTTGCTTTACAAAATGTTGATTAGACTTAACTTTTCAAGAGCAAATACTGTGTGCAAAAGTGACACATTGCCTATCAGGTGTCACTAGAGAAGTCTCAGTGTTCACAGTGAAACAAACAAAAAAACTCTTCATTCCCTAATCCACTAAAGTCAAACTGCTCAAATGTGGAAGGTGTCAGGTGCCCTCATTCCAGGGAAGAAGGCTTCACTAGCATTGGCCATCATTAATTGTCACTTCGGCAGGCAAGGACATCAGTTTGTGGTTTGAAGCAATTACAGATTATTTATATTCAGTTGTAATCAACTGTTTAGCTTAAATAGTGATACTTTTTATTGACTTGATTATAAAGATAAAGCCAATGCCTTTTTTGTTGTGGTGGTGGTGCTGGGAATGGAACAGAGAGTCTTGTACGTGCTATGCAAAATCTCTGACACTGAGCTATACCCTCAGTCCAGATGACTTGTTTTCAAATAAATGGAAACAGGATTTTGGGGATATATGGTACATTTTTCCTTTCATACATAAGACATGAGCACAGTGAGAAAAAAAGGAGTAAGGAAAGAATTTGGAGTAGAACTAGATAAGAACATAAGATCAGAAGGAGGGGCTCATAGCCCCATGTTACACTCTTTTTCTCTGGATATCAGACACTCTTCTTTATAAGTACAGCAAATAGAAGCAGATAAGTGGGCATCAGACATTCTTCCTATTTCTAATGAATTGCAGGAAAAGGCAGCAATGCGTGCTGCATTGTTTACTTTACTAGGAAGTATTGTACAAACACTTTGCTAGACTCAAAGATAGGAAGAAAAGAAGATAGAAGAAAAAAAGAAATGCACATTTAATTACACCTAAGTGCCTTCAAGGACTTTACAATGCCTTTTATGTAGTGTTCCAAGCTGGCTTTTTCAATTAAAAAAAAAATTCTCTATTTCAAAGAAGGCTACTATAATCAAAGGTACTATACCTATTTTTTCAAAGGGTCTTAAACCAATAGCTCACTAGTCTCTCACAAAATTTAGCCAGGCTGCTAAGAACCTTTCTAGAAATTCTGGCCATTTTTGCTGAAAGGCTATTCTTAATACTATAACACTACAAACAAGAAAAAAACACTAAACACTTTTTTAAAAAATTAAGGTCAATAAGAGAGTACTTTGCAGAATTACAACACTCAGAATTTTCATATTTCTGCACTCCTTTAAGAAATTTTGTGTAAATCGGTGTATGTTTTGCAAACTAGTGTATGCTGCGTGTGCCCATGTGTGTAGATTGTCAGACTAGAAGGGATATTTAATACATTGGATAAGTCTTGGGCCTGACAATGAGTGTGAGAGAGAGAAGGATCATGAATCAGGTGGAATGAAAGATAAATTGGATACATGGAGATGAAAGCAGTTAATTTAGATTGTCTGATTCATGTTTAGGTTTGTATTTCAGGTTCTGGCACACTTGTGTTGACAGATGTTTCTGACATCTCTAATGCATGCAGTTTATGTTCAGAACCAGGGGCAGTACAAACAAGATCTGGGAGTAGAGGGACCCTCATTAGTCACCAGGGAGAAAGTCTGATCTGTACCCCCAGGGGAGAAGGTTGTCTAGGGTGCAAAAATATGTTCCTGGGACCACCTGGGTAAGGGTTGAGGATAAAAAAAATCCGACAACTGGAGAACTGAAGCCTCAGCCTTTCCTAGGCAAAGGAGTGTGGAAGGTGGGTTGCTGGTAGCACGAGGTGGAGGTGAGAGTGGGAGTTGTTCCGTGTAGTGTCCCGGCTGGAGAAGGAAGAGCAGGGAACTGGGAACCTGCAAAGCAGAGATCGCTGTACCAGAATAAGCTGTTGGGGTATGAGGGTGAGTGGGGGCCTGAGGGGTGGCTTGGAGCCCTGGCGGTGGCTGCCTGACGTCACCCGCCTCTCTGGCAATAGGCTGGGAGCTGAGCTCCCTGAAGCAGCGGTGAAGGCAGCGGCGGCGGCAGCGCAGCTTGGTCTCTGGCCCCTTCACTCGGCGCCTTCTGCAGCCACCACTGCAGCCGCGCGGCGGGGGCTCCCTCCCTGAAGCCCGCTGGCGGCTCCAGGTAAGAGACGCCACGCAGCTAAAGCCTTTGAAAGGCCGGCAGGCTCGGTGGCAGGGTGAGAGTGGGGAGGAAGGGAGGACAGTTCGCGAGGAGGCCTGCGCAGGCAGACACCCCTGCCCATGGCTTGGGCCCCTGGTCCGGCTTGCTCGCCTCCTCTCAGCTCCGCAGTGCAACAGTTTGCAGCTGCCTCCTGGGAGCAGCAAGGAGGCTGTGCTGCTTGTGGCGAGTCTACCGGGCTGGCCCCCAGAAACAGCCTCGGGCCCCTCGGGCCGGGTCTGGGGAGGCCAGAGAGAGGGTTTGTTCCCCAAACTTTGCAGGCGGGGACCCTTCCCTTCCAGTTCCAGGTCCCTCAGAAAGAAGCAGGCTACTGTCAGCTGGGGGAGGAAGAGGACCGGGAAACAGAGAGAAGGGGGCGTTTGCAGGAATGCGCTTCAGATGAGAAAGGTGGTTTAGCTGCTTCGTTTTTTGGTTGGGGGAGGTGCCAGGGAGAAAGGCTGGAAAAAGGACGGGGCACGACCCTGCGCGTCAGCCGCGGGTGTGGACTGAGGCAGAGAGGATGTGGTGCCAGGAGTAACCTCCTGGGAACGGGACCTAAGTGGTCTGACGCGTCTGGGGGGGAAGAGTCTGGAGGGGGAGCACAGGAAAGAAGAACGGCATACGGAGAGCCGGATCGGAGGCTCCGAACGGGTGCTGGAGAGGGTAGGAGGATCCGGACGAAAGCTTAGGAAAGACGAGAGTCGGCACTCTGGGAAGTAGGGAACGTCATCCAGGCAGCTTCCGCGCCTGTGGCAATTAGAAAGTTGTGAAGGGCGCCGAAAAGCTGCCTTATCTGCTGAGTAATCTGCACCTCCTCTGTGCTGCCATGGACGCCTTTCCCGAGTGTTGGGAGCCGGCAGGGGCGGCTCTGGTGCTCTTCGGGAGCGGTGGGGCTGGGGTCCGCCGACTGCGCAGAAGACCGACAGCGCCCAAGTGAGGCGGCCCCAGGGCCGCGTTGCGGTGGTGGCTGATTGTCCTTGTTCTCCGCACTCCCCTTGGCAGCGACTGGGACTCTAACTAAGCCTGTTCTCTTTGCAGCTGTGTGCCTCTGCGAAGGAAAGGGTTCCTGGAGACTGATTGGAGGCGAGAGCGGAGAAGACCTCCCCAGCTGCACTGGCTCCCTGGCCCTCTTGCTTGCCAGCAGTCACCTCCTCAGTCCTCGGCTGGCGTACGCACTCCCTCCTGTGCAGGGAGTAGTTTTGGGTGCCGTGGGCTCTGTCCTCTTCTTGGCTGGTGGGAACGGTGTGTCGGAGATAGGAAGCCTGGTGGACCCGGCCCCTCCCAGCCCAGCGCCGATGAGTGCCCGGGCACCCAAGGAGCTGAGGCTGGCGCTGCCGCCGTGTCTCCTCAATCGGACCTTTGCTTCCCCCAACGACAGCGGCAGCGGTAACCCGGGTGCCCGCAGTCCGGGCGCAGGCGGTGGAGGTGGCAGCACCTGCATCACGCAGGTGGGACAGCAGCTTTTCCAGTCCTTCTCTTCCACGCTGGTGCTGATTGTCCTGGTCACTCTCATTTTCTGCCTCATCGTGCTGTCCCTCTCCACCTTCCACATCCACAAGCGCAGGATGAAGAAGAGGAAGATGCAGAGGGCTCAGGAGGAATATGAGAGGGATCATTGCAGCAGTAGCCGCGGTGGAGGGGGGCTACCCCGGGCTGGTAGTCAGGTCCCAACTCAAGGAAAAGAAACCCGGCTGGAGAGGCAGCCCAGGGACGCCGCCTTCAGCGCCCACTCCAGCGCCACTGCCACTTCTTTCCCCTCCTCTTCATCCCCCGGGCTTCCTGGCCAGGGTCCCTGTGCTCCTCTGCAGCCTCCACAGTCAGCGCCCCGTCCACACGGGGCACGTGCAATCTCCTCTTCTTTGGACACAGCTGGCGAGGGCCTTTTGCAAACGGTGGTACTGTCCTGATCGTGTAGCCCTTCTCCTCACTCCTTTCTTGTTTCCAGCATCTTTGGCGTCCTTGCTTTTCTCCCTCCTTCCCTCCTTTTCCATTTTCCTTTAGCCCTTCTTTCCTCTTTCTCCTTTCCTTATCTCCCCACCCCCTCCACTCTGTTTCTCCTCCACCAAGGCACTGTGCGGTATTTGTAAATATTGGGCGAGAAAAGTCTCGGAAGAAGAAATAGTGCTGATAATTCTTTATTAATATTTATAGTAATATACTACTAATAACACAATCCAAGCGCATGACAAATCACACACTTTCTCATTGTCAAGGAAGGATGCATCTTCTCTCTTCACCATATATACCCCTCAGTAAGGAGAAACTGCACAAACTACCAAATATATAAAAGGCATTGGAACTTGGTACAAAAGGAAGGGAGGGGGCCGAGTAATGTTGTACATAGCTGTCAAGTTAAGGTACCCACCCCCCAGCTTTCATTTTTCCTTTAGCTTCTCTCTCCTCTTTTTCCACTCTCAGCCAGGCTCAGGCATATTATATTACAAAGAAAATTCTACATTAAGCACCAAGACTACAAGGGGCCACAGAGAAAGTCCCAGAAAAATGTTCAGGACAGATACCCCTCTCCAGTCAGCCATCTTCTCATTCCTTGTTTAATAACCATTACTTATTCCAGAACTGAGCATTTTAGTTTAGTAAATGTCTCTCACTGGCCGAGCATAATAAAGAGATTTAAATCTATAAATGAGGGTTTTTTTGTTTTTTTTGTTTTTTTTTTTAAAAAGACCCTACTGCTTTCCACTCCCTGCTCAAACCACTTGTCCACCTTTGATGTGTGGCATTTTTAGGAGTCAGAGGGCCTGGGCGCTGTCCGCCAAGGTCTGGTGCTGAAATCGCCTCAGTCATGGTTACAGCACTTCCTCTGATTATGATGGTGGAGGAGGGGCTGTTTTGGAAAGTGACTATACTGGCTTTTGGGTTTTTCCCCCTTCTTTTTCTACAGTCAGGTTAGCGTGTACTATTGGTTTTCTTATTAAATGTTGCATAAGTTACCCTTTTTGTGAAAAAAAAGTTATTAGGTAATGTGCAGTACTGAAAGTACAGTATCTAACCAACCAGGATGCTTCTGTTTTATTTTTAGAATGAATGCACCTTTGTCATATACTTATTATATTGGTACCAAATACAGAAGAAAACTAGTTCTGTACTAAGTCCTCCAAACTGTATATTCTTGTTCGTACTTTCCAGCTGTTGATATAATGGTTACCACTGGATGAGGAACTCAGTGGTGCAGGGCTGGCTTCTGCTGTTTCTAGAAGTGTTCTTTTTGTACCTTACTCTGTAGTAGACTGTTATAAAAAGATGACACACATGTTTTCCTTCTTCTTTTGCGAATAACAGAACAACAACAATAACAGAAGATAAACAAATAATGGATGTGCAGGAATGCCATCTATTAAAATGTGATTAATATTTAAACAGTGCCTGTAGTTCTCCCTGCATGCAGTTAAGTTACCACCTGGAGGCAGTGGTGTGTGAGCTTGCTTGTACTGTATGTGTTTGGGGACAAAACTGGTGGGGTGTTGGGCAATTTGGATGACAGGACATGAAAATTTCAAAAGAATGAAAGCAGCAAATACTTATGGGATAAAAATTTTTACAGCTTGTTTAGTTAAAAAATCTGTGCTTGTGTCTGTGGTACAACAAAGATGGGCTCTCTTTATTAGTCTGGCTAGGTTAATTTCTCTGAATATATAAAAAAGTATTGAGGAGAAAAATATTTTTTTCTGTCTTCTCATGCCAGACAAGACCATCTCTTTTAGAGGTGGGGTCTGCCTAGGATTATTTACCACTTTGTTGCCCTTGGATTGATGATAGAAGGGGCCAGAAGCAAATTAAAATCTCAAGTATATGCAGTTGCATCCCTTCTTGGGAACCAATTCTTTGACAACTATTGAAATATTTGTAAAATTTATGAAAGGGAATGGTTTGCAAAAAGCTCAACAAAAAGAGTATTTACTATGTTTCTAGGTGTAAGACAACAGTGTCCCTAAAGTGCATCCCTCTTCCAAGTAACTAGCGGTTCTAGATTCACTGTCCTGGTTCCAGAAATATACGTTCTTATCCAGAGAAAATATTAACAGTGCTATTTTTGGTCATTTATTAAATTGCCCAAGTTCAGTCTGCATCTTTTATAAGAATGCTAAGCTTAATTTTAACTACCCATTAGGTAGTCACTCATGCTCCTTCCTGAAGCACAGATCATTATTTAAACATCCCATGTTGTAATATCAGGAAGACCATGTTATAGTCTTTGGATACAAAATATTAAACAATGAACCAGATTCTCTCCAGTGCCTTAGTCACATCCTAATAAGTAAAAGAGTGCATTAACTCCTTCAAGCCACTAGGGAATCTGATGGTGCATCAGAGCTCTACACTGTACATCAGAATGACTAAGGCACTGTGAAGAGGAAAGTTCATTAATTTTTGTACCTTACCCATGTCCAGCTTCAGCCCTTTAATACCTTATTATAAATGACTTTTGGATTTGGATGTAGAGTAGAATCAAGAACCCAAAAGGGAGCATCCTCATTTCCAATGAGCTCTACTAAAATACATGGAAATTAATTTTTCCCCTTATTTGGTGCACTTTTTACAGTGAATAATTTCCCATTTTATTAAAGCAATAAGATATTCAGTTGTGAGCTGTATTGGATGATGATTCCATTTCCTTGGTGCTGAAGCTACTCATATGTTCTTGCCTTATGAATTATAGTACATTCAAGGCATGCAATAATAATCTCCTTCCAAGGAACAGCCTGTACACAGTGTAAGATAATATCCTATATAGTTTTTTCCAAATGAATAGAAGAAGCAAGAGATTTAAAAAAATAGTGTATATTGTTTAAATATCTTAATACCTCTATACATGGACCATCTGTAATAGACTGATTTATTGTGCACCTTTGCATGTATATGCCTTTCTCCATTAATTTACTATGGTTTAATATTTTAATACTATCCTCTGAGAAAATGATACCATTTTTAATCAAATTTCATATTACTTTTAATATACTCAGAACCTTAGGCTTCTGATGGTATCAGGTAAGATTTTAATGAGATAGAAAGAGAATTACATGAAATTCTAGTAAGCCAGTCCCCACACCAAATTATTGCAATAAGCACATATTCAAGCAGTTTATATAAACTCTGTATAAAACACTGCTTCTTATAGAGCTCAGTTGACAGTCCCAGGAGTTTGGGGTGCTACCAACAGGGAATTTTGGTCTTTGTTTATATGAAATAAAAGGCACTCTGAAAATAGCTAAATTTAAGGATTTTATTCACTGATGTCCCGTCAAACTAATTGCTTCAAACCCCTATAGCTATAGTTCAACTTCTGCTCTTGCTATTCACTATTAATAAGGTGGCATGCTTGATTTTTATTGTTTTGAAAAATGAGAAAATTGGAGAGAGAATGACATTTATGTAAACTGTATGAGACTCTAAATCTTAAAGATATAGATGGATATAATCTTTAGAATTTATATACACCCATAGATATGTATTTATATATGCATACATTTTGTACAAATTTACAATGGACTTTTTGTATTCTCTTTTCTGTCATTACAAGAATGAGATGGTAACCAAATAGCTGTTCCATTCTCTTATCCAGAGAGGATACTGAGAAGTCAGGTATATGCATGCGATTGTTTCTCTGGGGTGAAATCTGAATGACTTTCCTTATTTAATGAAAGGGGAAAGAATCTTAGTTGACTTTGGAAATTGGTAATTAGATAAGCTTTATTTCCTATGCTAGTGACTCAAATGTAGCAATTATAATAAAGTTATGGCCATATCAATGTGGTCCAACTATCTAGATGGAAGGCAAAAATATCCAGAAGAGAGGGAGGGCCATCTAGGACACAAACCTAGACTTTGGATCAATTTTTCATTTTAAAACTGTTATGTTGTGTAAGTACAACTTATATCTGCATAGCTAAAGGTAAAGTGAAAATACGACCATTAATTTTTTAGTCTGATAAGTAATTTTTGAAAAATATGAACAAAGTAGCTTTAAAAAATTCTTTGACATCTGAATTTTCCATTTCTATATGTATCAATTGAATTTGGTAATGGTTAGAAGTTTATTTTCCCAATTTGTACACATATCCTTTAAATGCTTCGATGTGGATGACAGCTAAGCAATTGCTAGCTGATATTATGTGAAAGTTATGGGCTAAATTAGAACCGGAACTTTAATATAATCTGGTCCGGCTCCTCAGAGCTATTCCCGTGTGAATCTGGATTTTGAATTTGAATCCAAAAAGCCACTTGTTCAATTTTGCAACTGGTGTTCATGGCTCACAGATGCTTCAGTTCATATGAGAATGATTTGCTCTCTCTCTATTAGAATATTTAATCACCGTGTTAAACATAAATATAATTCTGATCTTTTTTTCATTTATTTGGTAACATTTGAGAAACAGCTTATATGGCTCGATATCAATACTTATTACTGTCACCAACCTAATAATACAATTGGTGCCAGGTAAAAATGCTTAAGTGATAATGTAAATTTAATTAGCTTTAATTGGGGACAGTGATTTACAAGGTGGTCTTATGTGTTTGAGGCAGGGATGTTTCCCTGTAACTTGTAATTGCATTGGGTTTTTTCTGTAGAGACATTAACAATAACAACAATGACAGCAACAGACTGACTTTTGAACTTGAGTATATCTAACAGGTAGAATAAAATAGATCTTAGAATTCATGAAAATTTTGTTTTGCTTTTCTATCAATAAAAGAGTTTTCTTGTTAATTGGCCTTTGGACACTATTTCCTTATTAATTTAATTTATAATACAGCAGGATTATGAAATTATGAAATTTTCATTTTTATAACCTCATCTACTCTTCCTCACAAACTGCACCTAAGAAATGGACTGTATAAGAATTCTATTATAATCCAATAAACTGAGACCAGTATGGTAATTTAGTACACCTGTGGACAGCTACTCAGACTCTAAAGTTCAATAACTTAGGTTCACAGAATTTTTCTTTTCCTACCTATATTTCTCTAATATAACCAGATGTGTCAAGTAGTGGTGTGCTTGATATGATTTTGTGTCATTTAGAGAAAAGAAAAACCTCAGATTCAAATAAATTCTGATGGAGCCTAGCTGAAGCTTGCTGAAAAGCAGCTGGTTGGGGATGCTCCCCAATCTGAGGTGCTCTTATCCTATGTAGATTTTGCGCTGACATTCATCACTGAAATTTTTAACCCCAGACCTTTTCCTCTAGTCTCAAAATTATCATCCATAAGAATTTATACATCGTGGCCCTGCCATCCCTAGGTTGAACAATATTTTAACATGTTACCCCCTTCTTGGATATACAGGACCCACTAGGTGCTTTGTGTTTTATGCAGCCATAATTGAGAGGCATGAATTCCATTTCAGTATCAAGAATTGATTCACTACCTCAGCTGTAATTCTTTTGCTTCATGGCAGATGGTACAATGCATAGATTTATTTTGAAGTCATAGCCCCACACTGATGTATTTGAGGGAGGGCTTGCTGTTTATCTCTAAAGCTATTTAGATGTTTGTGATACATCACCCCTCTCATTTCTGGCTCCTATGTAAAGAAAAGGAGCATGAAAACCTGCTTCACTTTTCTTTTCTGCCTCATCTTTTTTTAATATTTCAAAGCATAAGAATCAGTATTTTTCTTAATTTTGTCTATCTAAAATGACTCCTATGATTGGCTTCCCAATCCTGCAATGGACTTAGTTTCCTTCTTCTTGGTATCAGCCTCATCACTAACTCTTAATGGCAGTTAAACAGGGTTCAGGAAATTGAATGATAAACTTACTGAGAAGGGACCCTAAACTGGAACATATTTAAAATATATTATGCAACCATAGTAAACATTTACATTCCTGGAAAGCACATGTGTTCATGGTTAGGATCTTAACTGCCCTTTTTCCAAGTGTTTCATGACTATCTTGCTTTTATTTCCCTATTAACATCCACACACTTTCTCAAATTTGGCCAGGAAACCTGGCTGCTGATTGAATCTTCATTTCAAATTCCAATGTGGTATCTAACCCTCACACAGTAGGATCTGCAGACTTTGTGGAGGAAATGCTTCCTTTGAGCTGAGAAGAACTCCTAGTGGATATTGAATACTGAAGTGGACATGAGTAGCTATCTCTACATAAAGGAAGCAGCTAGTATACATAGATTATACAGCTCAATCTCTAATCATGACCCTCTTTACTCCCAGGAAGTATATATTCTTTTAATTCAGCTATTTGGCTCAAGTTTAGATATTAGCTTGCTCTCACAAGGTTGCTATGAATCAATCTCTGAATCCTTGGATCTCCCTGGGTAGAGTGAATTTATGATATATTATCTGTGTATTCTCTTTCTGCTAATTATTTAAGTCCAATGTCTTCTTTCAAATATACCATCTCCAAATATGTCCAAGACTTGAGTTGATGCTAACAGTGTTGTTTCTCTCTCTTTGAAAAGATGGCTCTATTTTTAAGATTTTACAGACCAAAAAGAGGTATAAGAATAACTTTTCTTAACCCTTCTTTTCTGCTTTATGCTGTTTATCTTCTGTCTACATTTGCAAATCCTCTTTTTCCTGGATCATAGCCTTGACTCAGAATTTTTAATTTTGGCATAGGAGTTTATAATCACTGCATTGTATAAATTTTGTGCATATAGAATCTCTTAAGTCTTAGAGTAGCCCTCAAAAGCCTTACTGAACTTAGGTGTCAAAGAAGCACTGGGGTGACAAAAATATTCACTCTTCACATACTGTGTGAAGCTAATATGGCTACTCTGCTTTTCTGTAGTTAATCTTATCCTAAAAGAGACCTATTTGCTAGATAGCCCTTTTACAGAAATCCTCATATTTTCTCTTTACTATTTTCAAAGCTGGTGTCAAGGTATAATTTATATAATCTCATGTTGGTGGAACAGGAAAGTTCCTTAGAACTGTGCAGTGTTAAAGGAATCTCTGCTGAGTAGGGATGGAAAGTGGCTAGTCTGGTCTGCTTCCTGAACTTATGACTGATATGATAAAAACAAGTCTTTTCTAGTGTCCACCATTACAGTCCAGGATCTTGGTTATTTTTACATGGCTTCAGAATCTGAGTCTACTGTGGTTAGTGTCTCTTCTATGAGCAGGGTTTTGCTGTTTCACCTTGTTCCAAGCATCTCTGCCCCCCTGCCCCCAGCAATGGGATGAAAGGAAGTTTGTGGGTCCTTTAATATATCCTATTCAGATTCTGGGAAACAAAAAACTTTATAGTTGCCTGTTGCTACCACCATCACCCCATTGGCACCTTCTTTTTAGAAAAAGTACTAAACTCTCCCTAGTAAAGGTTTCTCTTAGTGGAATTAGGGAGGTTTGCTAAAGCACTTAATAGCCTCAGAGTCCTTGGGATCCCTGATCATATTGGAATCCTTATTATTGGACCACCTTTCTAGTACAACTTTTTCCAGAATCAGGGGGTTTGGGGAGCAAGAGACTTACCATCCATCTTCTTCAATGAATATTTGACACCATTCCCTGCCAATCCTATAAAACTATCCAGGAGTGGAAGGGATAGACTTTCTTTAGGATTCTTCAAGGATTTCATTTGGTACAGAGAGCAAACTATAGATTTGGGAGTTTTCTGCTTTCTAAATGCCATTTCCTATACTCTGACTCCAACTTCACAGCTAGGACTTAAAATGGGAGATAGAGTGTAGACGAGATTGATCAACAGAAAAACCCACACTAGGAGGTGCTTCAGAAATATTTTTTACTTGCCATTGTTTGCACATAGGTTATTACTTCTAGTTTCATATATTTCAGTGATAACAGAAAGGTCCCATCTCTTCCCTCTATTTGCCAGTGTGTGATGTCCCCACTGAGCTGTTAAGTTGCTTAAGCAGTGAACAGTTTCTTAGTTCCAGTGGTGTATGTGGTGGGTCTTTGTCAAGCATCTTGAGATTGCAGCTGTCTGTGTATTTTGTGTTTCAGTATGGAGCAGCCTTTTCTCAAGGCTGTGAGGAGAAAATGGAGGTCACTAAGTTCCAAGGGGGAGAGCATCTCTAGGGAGAGACACAAAAAAGGAGAAGCTGCAAGACCTATTTAGCTTTGTCTTGTGGACTAGACCTCTTTCCTCGCAGCATGTTCTGTGGGAACAATAGTTATTATGTTCTACGCATGGCAAGGTGACCATGCTTTGGCAAGATTATCAGAAAGGCTCATATGAGTTAGTCCTGGCCTTAGACTCATAGGTAGATTCATTGTTTTATTCTAGTGATGCTGCCTTGTTACACACAGACAGAAATTAGCTTGAAGCCCTCTCTCTTTGGCCACATTTTAATAATTAATCTAGGAATGACCACTAACTAAGTATCATTGATTATTTTTTAAACTATTTGATGAAATTATTCTTTAGAAGCTTTTGCCTTTAACATTTGGGAACTCATTCAGTCATCAGGTATTCATTGAGAGCCAACTATATGCCAGACATCAGTTTTGGTGCCAGGCATGCAGCAGTAAATAATATAACCAAAGTGGCCCACCCTCCTGGTGATTTAATTCTAGTGGGGGAGACAATAAACAAAACACTCAAGTGAATTATGGAGTATTTTAATGAGAGAAAAGTGCTATAGGGAAAATAAATCAGAAAAGGGGGAGTGTGCCAGGAAAGAGTATTAGATTTTTAAGTAGTGTGGTCAGAAAAAAACCTCACTGAGAAAATGACATTGGAGCAAAGACTTGAGGAAGCCATGAAAATATTTGTGTTAATTGGCTAAAGATTGTTTGGCTAGAAAGATTTTAAAAACACTTTCCAGAAAGGCCACTAATTTCATAAATGAGAAAATAGTGATTTTGATAGAAGAAGGTATGAAACTTATGATTGCTGAACATCGTATCAAGCATTGACATTTTCTAAGTGGTGAGGAGTGATAACCTTGAACCATGAGGAGTTTGTAGTCTAGTTAACCTTTAATTTTGATTCAAATTTGATTAAAAATTTATAGGATGACCAGGAAAGGTTTCCTAAGGGAGGTAGCATTTTAACTGTTTTGAAGAATGAAGAAGAATTCAACAAAAGAAGGAAAAGTATTTTAGATGGAAGGAAACCATTCCCAAAAGTATAAAGGAACAGAGTTGTACATATTTGAGTAATGTTATGATGTTTATACTGAAATAACAAAGATAATTCTGAAAAATAGAAGTAAGCCAGATCACTAAGTGCCCTGCAACAGGCAGCATTAGAAGATACAAGGTGTGATTGAAATAATGTGAATGTTTAAATTTAAAAAATCATTATGGTAAAAAATCACATTGCAATTAATCCTCTTCAAAATACTCTCCCTTGCTTCAAAGACACTTATCCCATTCTTCTTGCCACTTTCTGAATCAGTTTGAGAAACCCTTTTTTGTATCCTGAGTTTCACTGTCATGGCTACCTCAATGTCGTGAATTGATTTAAAACAATTTTACTTTGGGGAAGAGCCAGAAGTCACACAGTGCCAGACTGGGTTAATGAGGTAGATGAGGTCAAACTGCAATGTTTTTACAAGCTGGATTTGATGGCATACAGCAGCAGCATTCACCATAATTTTGATTACACGTTGTAAAGACACTTACAAAAGAGGACTCCAAGAACTTCTTCAGAAAGTGGCAAGAATGATGAGATGTGTGTTTGAAGTGAGGGGGAGCATTCTTAGGCGATTAATGGCAACATGTTTTTA